AGACATTACCATATAAAACACAATTACTTTTGATTCATATAAAATACTGTAAATTTGTTTCTATACTGTAAAATGTGAAAATACATAAAAAACATTTTGGTCGTCTTAACCCACTTGCACCAGGTGTCACATATGTGACACCTGGAAATATAAACATTGCTGGCTGTCCCACTGGTGTGACGCTAGATCGGAGCTTGCACTCTGATTTTGTTGCCTGTGGTGGGTAGCACGCAGGCAGGTTCCCAGACTTGCCCATGCGCTGATTTCAATACTGCCCAGAAACTGGGATTATCAGCTTCCAAATGGACCATCGCTAGTGGGTTAATACCTGGGAAAGTTTTCTCTCAAATATATGAAGTCAGTATTTGTAACCGTTTCATAGGTTTGTTTCTTAATATCAAAATAATCAATAGGGTTCATAATTCATTTCATAAACTATGTGTGCTACATCATATAAACTCTTAACATTTAACAGGATATCATATAATGGAAATTCAATACTACAAAAATATTCACTTGCATTTTGAAGTCTATGTAAGTTTGAAACTTTAATAAATTTATGCATTTTCTTCAATATACTATATATCAAGATGAAAGTTACAAAACAGTAAAAATGTATGGCAATATTCTATCACAACAGGCTAACCGCATACAAAACAAGTTATGATGCATAAAAAATAATGTTCACTTCACATCAACACAAAGAGTGATCTTCAAATATTGACAGTTCATGATTCAACTTAATAATCAGCAGTCATATTTGAGTAATATATTTTCCTTCACAGCAATCTCTAACTTTAACAATGTAATTTTTTACACTGAAGCTGCATAAATTTAGCCTTGAGACATGTGTAAAAAGGAAAACTAGTTTAACAAAATATCATCAGCATCAAAATACTATATTCAACAAGTCAACAAATAACAATAAAACAAAGAACAGTAATATGCAAGTGTTCCCAAATTTCAAAACCTGCAAAATAACATTGTCAAAATGAAGCCATATCATATCTGGTTCTTTTCTGCTGCCTTCACTCCTCACTAAAGCCTTCTTTCTGCCTCTTTACATACTCTTTGCGAGCGTCCATGTCATCGGCAGGTCGGTTGTGTGGAGTCCACACTGGAACCCCAACAAACAGTCTCATGGCCTTGATATAGTTCTGTGGAGGAGGTGAAACTTTTACTAAGACATAGAAGAAAACAAGTAAATTATTATAAAGAAAATGGAAATAAATGAAAATGAGTAACAAAAACAAAAAGGAAATGCATCACACAAAGAAAATATGGAAGAAGATTGGACAAATAACCGAAATAGCTGACTGATCTTTCTTCTAATCATCTACAAAGTAGGTTTGTCCTCTTCTTTCATAATGATGATCATCTGAATATTTGATACAAAGAGTTCAACACTTCTTTCTTTCTGACGGTAAACTTGAAAAGAAATCTTGAATCCTTTAAAGTTTTCTAGCTGGTCCAACATACATACAATTTATACATATATTCAATCTAGTTGGTTTAATTAGAAATCTATACATGTATTTTTAGTGTAACTAAATATATGACTTTTAACTTGGATGCTTGCAGCTTTTTCCATTTTAACTATAAACCTAGTGAGAAGATGACCAATACTTTACCAGAAATCACCGATAGTAATGATAAGAGTATGATGCCAAATTACTAGTACCATCTCTCGTTCATTTTTTACCTTAGTATCTAGAGTGAATCGGTGATAGATTCCAGCTGGGAGAATCAGGAGGTCTCCAGGTGTCACTTCAATCCTAATCCACTTGTCTTCCTTGTCTCGAACGTCTAAATACCCGGAGCCTTCCAGGACAAAACGGATTTCTTCATCAGTGTGGATGTGTTCTTCGTAGAAGATTTTGAGCTGAGGTGATGATTAGGGAAGGGATTAATAGCTAAATGAAAATAAAATAAGATTTATCAATTAGTTCCTCCAATCTATGGCAAAAAGAAAACCTTAATCAGGTTATGGATAACAAAATGTAATTAATCTAAGGATGCTAAATACAAATAATGTCCACCAATGTATTGTCTTATAAATTCTTTTTACGCGTAGATGTTTCCACAAGCACTTATTTCCCAAGGACTCAGTTACTAAACTCAAGTGATCTCACCAACTTATCTGAATTCTTGAATTCCATGGAAATTCTTTTTATTACTTGTGTCATTATTGTCATCATCATCATTAGCAATATCATTATAATAACATTAATAACAATAGTAACTATTATCATTAGCAATATCATTATAATACCATTAATAGCAATAGCAACAGTAATAAAGATAAAAAAGTCCAGAAAATTCAAGGAAGAGGGTAAACAAGTTGAGTTCCTATGAGTAAAAGTATAATCAAACAAAACTTGTGGACAGTTCATAAGTAAATACATCACAAAAGAATCATAAAAAAATAATGTACGTATTTAGATTTATAACAAAGAGTTAATGTATATCAATATCTCATGTATAAAGTGTATAATACTTATAATCAATGGGAAATAAAAAAAATATGGATCCATTAATTAATTCAAGATGTCATGGCTTTTAATATAGGCCTATTGAGTTCTAGAATTTATTGAAAATTTTATTGCACTCCACTTTCATTAACGTATAGTCTTCCACAAAATTTGAACAAGAAGATACAAGAAGATACAGTTATTATTCATGAGACATTGCAAGGTGGGATCTGGAAGTTCACACAACATGCATGAATCATAAAAGTGACAGAAGAACCCTGTGGGTGCTAACCTTTTCTTCATAATTTGGGAGCTTTTCTGGCGAGACTTGAATGACATCTGAGTATGAGTAGCCTCGGCTGGATTTTATCTTCTCAAGCTCAGGTTAAAAATTTTTCTCATCCAGCTAAAACAAGAAAAGAGTTATCGTATCCAAAAATAGAGTTATCGTATCCAAAAATAAAGTTTGCACATAAATAATTATTCCTTAATAACTTCCCAATATCAGTAATCTGCAAGTTAATGTAAAACCACACACACCTAATTTTTTAAATCTGGGATCTTCCTTTATGAAAGGAACAGACTCCATGACTGAAAACAGAATTTGTAATTTACAATTCATGTTCAAGAATTACTTCATTACACAATCTGTGATCAATAATCATGATATCTATAAACAGGAACTGATTAACCAATATATGTAATTTCAAAGACTCCAAGGTATGTGTTTTCAGAGCACCTGTAGCAAAGGGATAAATAAAAATGAATTTCACAATACAAGAGATATATTTAACTGGCTTTGGACATATCTTTGTCCAACATACATGTATTTCTGACAGATATAATCAAAACTGGTTAAATACATCTCTTGTATTGTGAAGATAGTCATTCTCATTCCTACCTTTTCTACATTTGTAAACATGAATACAGCACAACCAACCTTCCAGTACAGAACTCCAGTGTCAGTACGAAGTTTCTCAAGGGTCACATATTCTGGTGGTGAAAGGTGATGCTCCTTTCGCTTGTCCTCATCACTGTTGTCCATGAGCCAAGCATTTACCATTTTGAATTTCTTTCCTTTCTAACCTCTGATAAAATTAAAAAATGAGGCTTTAACTCACTGGATCCAGTTGATGTGTCCTTCATGTCATGAAAAATCCTGGCTGAGGGAAGATGATGGGAATATTTTAAACATGAGTTATTCTAGGAGCATTTTTAAGCTATAGCCAGAGGTATAAAGGTGTAATTTTGGCCCAAAAAATGTGAGAGTATGGCCCTTGGAGGGGGCAAGCCAGACTTTGAGAGGGGCAAAGTCAGTGTCTTGGGGGGGGGTCATTTCCCTCCCCCCAGCCCCTCAAATGACACACCTGTTACCATATAGATACAACATAACAAAAGACAAATAGACTACAAAAAATGCAAACAAGCACATAATGCTCATGCAAAAAACAAGAGATGATAACATTGAAAAGATGAGACATAGTGTTAGTAATACCACATATGAATTTTAATGTGGGCCAGGATTACAAAGCACACACCCAAGAGAGTTGCCAAGCAAGTAAGCCTTTTGCCCAGATACATATATACATATACATATATATATATATATATATATATATATATATATATAATATATACTATATATATATATATATATATATATTATATATATATATTATTATATATATATATATATAATATATATAATATATATATATATATAATTATTATATATATATATATATATATATATATATATATATATATATATATAATATATATATATATAGTATATATATATATATATATATGTATATGCATATATATATATATATATATATATATATATTATATTATATATATATATATATATAGTATATATATACTATATATATATATGTGTGTGTGTGTGTATGTGTGTGTGTATGTGTGTATGTGTGTATGTGTGTGTGTGTGTGTGTGTGTGTGTGTGTGTGTGTGTGTGTGTGTGTGTGTGGTGTGTGTGTGTGTGTGTGTGTGTGTGTGTGTGTGTGTGTGTGTGTGTGTGTGTGTGTGTGTGTGTGTGTGTGTGTGTGTGTATTAATATTGATATGCTATTTTACCTTTCTACATAATGCTTTTATTGTAAAATCTCAATCTTTTAAGGAAACCCTACCCAAGTTATTATATTGGTTGTTGAGCAAGGCAGAAGTAAAATTATTATAAAGTTATTGGTTCCTTTCTTTTAAATAAAATATTAGTTAATCTATACAGTATGGACATACTCAGGATGGGTAAATTGAAGAGGATATTCTTGTAGATGACAAAAAGTTGTTCATAGAAGATAAGTTTCTTACATTAACTCGCTCTATTGCATATATCATTTTCCGTCTAAACGATGGCTCTGTGGAATAGGACCTGTGCCAATACTGAGGTGTTGACCGTTTGTATATGCAGATCATTTCTTGTATAGACGACTGCAAATTTTACTTTTCAACGGGAATATCATCTTCGATTTACCCTAGCTTAGTGCGCGCGCCCATACCGTAAAACTTTACCATATTTTTTCTCTGTCTTCATATACATCTTAATATGCTTCACGTAACAGAATAATCTAAATTATTCCACAAAACTACGTGAAAAATAAAACTAACTTGTTTCTTCTTTAACAGGATTTTAGACTAAATTAATTCCGATAATTCAACTAACCAGAGTTTCTTGGTTGTGGATGTGAACAAAGAACCAAGAGCGTTTATATTAATTTTATTGTATTTTGAAAATTCCGTTCATATTCTTTGCTTGAAATTCCTATATTTGATTTCAGAGAAAAAAATCTTCATATGATATATAGACAATGAGTTAAGTAAATGAATCAATGTAAAGCAAGAATTTGATACGAAAAATCTTACACTAATTGAAAATATATAATCGAAATAACAGCAAATATATTCAGTGACATAAACAATTATGAAATTTATAAACATTACTTCTTATTAATAGGATGTAAAAGAATAACTTTGAATGAAGTCTTATTTACAAACAAAACTAAAATTCGTTCACATACACTTGGTGGAAAATAGGGTATGAATGTTCGTTTCCTATGAAATATGATTAGCGATATTTATTTTAAGACTCTTATTATTTTACTTTTATGTGTATCTAAAAGAAAGCACAGATTATACTTTCTTTATGCGAAATGTTGATTATAAAATGTGTAGAGATTTTGGGCAGGGTAGCAGAGGACCCAATATTTGTTTTTATGTGGATGAAGGCTAAAAATAATATGTATATACTTGGTAGCTTGAAGTCATTGGCGAATACTGCGTTTTTATCATTATTAGATCGTTGTTGAAACTTAGAATTAAAGATAGAAGTTATTTATTGCAATATATCAGTAGGCGGTACAAAATTTATGCATTGTTATAAGCCTTGAGTAGATGTTCAGATATATACTTCTTTATTTGTTTTTGTCAAACCTGCAAATTCGTTATTTTCTAGACCCGGCAGTTGCAAATTGTGATTTTTATAATAAATAAATGATGGGTGCAGTAATCAGGGAGAAATTGGATATAACATGAACTCTGTTACTACCAATTATAAGGTAGGCTTATGTAACTGAACAAGATGTAAAATTAAATGTTTAATTAGCTGTCCTTAAGCTTGACGCATTTAGCATAATCAGTGGCATTTTTAATGAATATCCATAGAATACTTGCCATCCACATGACAATATTTCTTCTGTTGCTGGTAATTCTTTTTGTTCTTGTGCGTTTTCCATTTCACGTTTTCAGTTACTGGAAACTCATTATTATTCCTACAGATATTGCAGATCCATAATGACGTAGGTATTGGTGGCGGTACTCCCAAATATTCAAGCATACAATCTCTACATAACGGTACCCACTGACAGAGGTCCTTCTCTGGAAATTACGGTTGATAGATATTTGTGCATCATCAAGTTAAGGAACGGAGAGGATTTGAATATCAAGTTCCCAAGAGGTACCTCTTTAGTACCAGGGACTGTTAGCAAAGTCACCCAAGATGGCAGCCACATAACTGCAAGAGCACAGTTGGATGAGTAAACATCTCTCCTCAGTACACTCAGTGCAGACCTCTTGAGTAATATTGGACCAGTCATTTCGGATTCTTACCCGACCTTTAGTGAGATCCTGAAAGATAGTCTGGTGACGGCCCATTGTAAACGGTGCCGCAAAGTTTTACTGAGTGATGTGAGGTTTAGGAGAGTCTTGCCTTTATCTTCAGTGGATTGGGACCAAGTCTCAGAGGGGTGGTTTTGTCACCTCCATGGCAGTGAGGGCGAGAAACTCAAACCTTCGTCACTACAACCTGCAAGTGCCGATTGTTTCTATTCCGAACTTCATTTCCTAATTCATAAAGATACGTTAGTGGATGGTGTCTCTTCAAATGACAATAAATGTGAACTGACATGTTGCGGCTGTCAAACATCTTTAGGTGTTCGGCGTAAGGAGTGTGTGTTGAAGTTGTGGGCGCATAGTTTAATGTGGGTGAGAAGGGAAGACAAGCAGATTCTTTTCGGCAAGGACGTTAGCGGAATCCTTTTGTCATTGATTCATAACATTGATAAAGACAATTTTGGAGTAAACTGTCGCCTTGTGTTAAAGGTGTCACAGGAAGAGGAAGCGGCGGCAGAGCCAGAATTCCTATACTTCGTGACAATGAACACCAATCAAAAGCTACTACCCGAAGGATCATCTCAAGAATATCCGACAAGAAATATAGTCTATCAGGAAACTTTGATAAGATGGAGGCAGACAGTTCCGCTTCCGATAAGCGAGCTCGGGTACACCAAGATGATATTTCAGAAGTCATCCTTAAGAGAGTATATACCATCAAGCTCTTTTACCTCTTGAAGAGAGGGGAGGACGACCTCACCGGAAGCTGGGTCGACGACGTGAATGTCCACATCCCCTGCAGCAGGTCATTTGTCCTAGACGTGAAGGATGTGCTCGAGGCTTCAGCTGCGTGTCTGCCGCAGACCATGAGGAAGGTGGAAAACATGAGTGTGGGG